TTTTTTCTTCGCTATTCTTTCGTTCGCTATTTTTTCTTTCGGCCAATTTAATGCCATTCTCAAAAACGCCTCAAATTGTCTCACAGCATAGTGGCTATAGTAATAGTGCTTTACTAGCGGTCAAATTCCAATTTGAAAATGGTGCCACCAGGAAGAGAATATTGATTTATATTTTCGGTGAAAAAATCTCGCTAATACATCTGCAGAAACTTAAACTTCAAAAAGACTGGATACTCAGTACATGTATCAATATGGCTCAATTCGGGGTGGTATTGGGCATTTATCGGTTCAAATAGATGTTATTATTTAGGATGATTTATATATTCTGATAGAGAAAAAATTCTGCATCGAATAAATCTATTTTCACCAGATTATAATTGGACTTTCATGGACTCTCAGCTCAAAAACCGTTTTTCAGGGTCCCGAAAAGTACTTCAGATGTTTCTTATTATCCAACGAATCATTTTAAAAAAATGTTATATTTGTAATCAGGACACAATTCTATCGAACTAGAAGTACCTCTACTAAAACTGGAGCAAAAATATTTTCAAGCCCTAAGAGGGACCTCAAGTATGACCAAATAAGTTGTGAGAAAGTAGCAGATAAACTAGTGAAAAATAATCGGCAATGAATGCTGATTCTCAGAATAATAATATTAGGTTCACATTTGTTGATAAGCTAGCTCCGCACTATGACATCTCCTTTTGAATATAAATTAATATTTTGGCAGCATAAAAAAGGAATAAATACATAGTCCAAGAGACTTTAGGCAAGATGAATCGACATAACACAAAATAGCTTATTCGATGCAGTTTTTCATGCTAATTATGAATCCAAAGTTGAAAATTTTTTTGGTCGTAAAAAAAATGAATGAATATTGAAATTTTACGAAAAGTCGCATAAAATATCGCGGAAAAAACAGTCTTTTCACATTTTTGACCCTATTTTATCAGCAAATGCTATTCCCATGAGAAGTTAAATATACAGTTCGATAGAGGAGCTTCTGCTCTATCGAACTGTATATACCACCAAGTGCGGGAGTTCCATTTTTAATTGAACCCATAAATCAACATTTTCCGCATTTTCTTCATTTTTCGTGTATTTAGTAAAAGAAAGGTGTATCCATAGGACCAAACAAATATCAAGAAAATACTTTCAAAAATACATAATATTTCACAATTTTCGATGCTGTACACGAATCTGAAGTTGAAATTTTGATTTAGAAAATATTAAAATCATAGCTTGCTAAGATACTGGAAAAGACCACATTTGGAGCCGAAAGAATGATTGAAAACGGGGTATCTCAGTATTTCGTTGATTTCTCTCTTATTTACTATTGAATGCTAGACTTTTTGGTAGCCAAAATGATCAGCACAAAAAGCTTTATAAGATGAGCCTATTTGATAATGATTTGGAGATACTTTTGTATTTCGTGGTAGGAACCCATGGAATCGCCACATGTAAGAGCAAATGCAGATGTCATCAAAGATCTATGCAGTTTTAATGCGGTGGAAGCTAATCCAATGGATCGTTTACCACACGATTGTTATATGATTATGGTTGGTCGTCTAAGTAAAGAACATGTAATGATGTTGAAAAAAATGACTGAATCAAAAAGAATTTCTTCAATCAATACAGTTGACAAAATACAAGCTGAATATCAAGTACTGACCTCTGAAGAGCTTGAATCGGTTCTGGAGTATATACAGTTAACAGGGCGCACAGAACAGCTCGAAAATCAGCGTAATGGTCATTTTGTTTTTGAAGACAATTTCAATTCTTCACTAATTGATATTATCGAAAAGGACTCGTCGTACGAAAAACTTAAAAGAGTTTGTCGCAGATACGAAAAGAAAGAGGGTGTTAATATAGAAAAAGTGATGGCTGAGCACGAGAATCGTGTGGCGTTGTCGCATTCTTACTTTGTCGACAAAAAATTGCCACCTGATGAAGCCAAAGCTTTAGCATTCTCCCTTTCGTTTTACACTGGTACGAAGAGTGAAGCATGCAGTCGAGGTGCCAGTCTTATTGCCCGAACAGGTAACGGAGAAGCTGTTGAGGTGAAAACACAAGAAGAAATGAGCGAAGCCGCTATCATTCTGTATTATTTGGTGAAAGCACTTTCATACATACCTTTTCACTGGGGATATGTCACACGAGCTTGTAAGCTTACATTTGATGAGCTGAATCTATACATGCCTGGCTATTTAATTACTTGGATTCAATTTAGCAGTTCAAAAAAAGGCAAAAAAGCAGTTGCTACTCAAGCTTTTAATGATCGAAATGTACTTTTTAAAATCTTCTCGTTGACCGGTCGGCCAATTAAACAATTTTCTAATTATGGAGAAGAAGAAGATGAAGTTTTGTTTCTACCTCATTCCACTTTTCTTGTTTTAAATCGTGACACGCAGTATGAAAATGATGCGCGAAGGGTGGTAATTTACATGCGACAAGTCGAGCTGGGGCTATGCAAATGGTCAGTTCTGTGGGTCGATGATCGAATATTTGACGAAGATTGGGAGAATAAGCGACATATGGAGTATGCAGCAGTTAAGACGCTTGATATGAACGTGCATTTTATTCCAAAATCAACCACTGAAAGTGCTCTCTCATTTCTCCGATCGACATTCGGAGAGCGATTGAAAAATCGGGAAACATTTCGCATTGTTACCGATATGAATCGTGAAAATGAAACATCCGTTCATGATGCAGGTGCACGATTGATCAAAGCAGTGCGACAGATGGGCTTTAACAACAAATGTTTAGTATTTACTAGCGATAAGAGAAAAGCAGAAAACATTCTTCAATCAAAATTAAACTCAAGAGAACAACAATGTGTTACAGTGTCTGATGTAGCGCAAGATTTACGAAATTTTGTAAATTTTAATAAAATGCCAACACATGCACAACAATCAAACGTTGAAAATCCAAGCAAATCCAACACATCGCAAAACTCGACATATTCCAGTAAGTTAAAAAAATTTATACGCCTCAGAAGGCTTATCAAATTTCAAGAGAAAATTCGAAGCTATTATTCGATAAAACATTTGCTTTATTGTTTATTAAAATACTCGCTAAAATTTTAAAATAATGTAGAATCCTACATCCAAAATAATCAAAACCTTTAATGCCTAACATACATTTAATTTGCCATGTTTTCTATTTGAAAGTAGGACAAGCTAAGCAAAGGTTCGACAATATAAATAGGCATCATTATAGAAGACTCTCACTATACACCCGGTCAGAGTCAGAGCTGATACGTTTTCTCCAACTGTCTTTATCAGCTATATCTCACTTTCTATTTTTCGATAATTACAGAAAATGATACATCATCCTATAAATCAACTAATAACACTACTAAAGCATATCAAGGAGCAACCGGTGGTAAACATTTTACAACTTATGCTGATACAGATAACGAGATGATGCACAATTCTACGAATACAAACATCGACATTCTAATAAGCAATTGTAAAATGCGAAATTTGGCTAACCATCGATACAAGTGAGTTTTTATGTAAAATGGAGTTTAGTGGCTATAGCAAAAACAGAATATCTTATACAGCTGTAAAAAGTTGTTAGTTTGGTTCCTGTTTGGTGGAATTGCGAAACACAATGGAGCTGTATATACCCGGAAAAAAATAGTTTCAGTCCATATATCAAATATAGTGTCACTATAAGACCACATTGTTTAAAAACTAATTACATATTCTGAAAACCCGTGGAGTTTTCTGTCATCCTATATAATTAAGTTCTAGTTTGCAACTATGCATTATCAAAATAAATTAATCGCAATGAAGACACTCTCATGTCCAGATTTCCACAAACTTGATTTTGTCACTGTCATCAAAATTAGTTTTTTAAATTTTTTATCACTACAAAATCACCGTTTGAGGCCTCCCCTCAAAATAAAATCACTCATCGATTTTTCGCTCCGTCAACTTGTTGAAACATAATCTTCGGTGCTAGGACAATTGGTTGCAAGACAATTTGTCGCCGGATAATTCATCGCAAGAACAATTAGTCGCAATGATATAATCCAATTATAATTTATCATTATTGTTTCGTTGATGAAATGGCCTATTAAGTTAAGTTTGAAACACATAATCATATCTTCTGATACTGCCTCACATACTCAATCATCCTGAACTTTGGAAACAAAAAAAATGAAAGAGGTAGTAAACAAAATCTACTTCTCCTCAAGGGGGAAACAGCAGAGACTTCAGCCGTGAAGTCCCATGAAGTCTTGTAAGTCTTTTGAAGTCTTCTGAAGTCTCTTGAAGTCTCTTGAACTCTTATGAATTCTCATAAAGTCTCTTGAAGTCTCTGAAGTCTGTGAAGTCTCATGAAGTTCCATGAAGTCTCTTGAAGTCTCTTGAAGTCTCATGAAGTCTCTTGAAGTCTCATGAAGTCTCATGAAGTCTCTTGAAGTCTCTTGAAGTCTCTTGAGGGTGTGGGTATGGGATGTGGGTGGGTGTGCATGTGAATGAATAATATATTATTACCCACACCCACACCCACCACACCACCACCCACATCATCATCCACACCTACACCATCATCCACACCCACACCCCACAACCTAGAATTTATACGAGAAAGAATGATTATTTATTCGCAAACGATTTGAATCTTGATAGAAGAAAATAGTAGAATGGTTAAAGTTTTAGGGTCTCAAGTATTAGTATCACGCCCATGCCTTCATACTTACACTAAGAATATTTTAGCCCTTTTAGTTCTTTTAGCATGTGAGTTTAAGTTTGAGCGTGCGTGTTCCCTTTACTTTTACACTCGCTAAAAGGTGAAAAGCTTGTCAGCGCAACTCTTTTGGGGCTGAAATGTAAAACTCACGTATGTTCTTCAGCTTCATTATATTAACATGAAATACAGAACGTATAAAATCAAGAATTTCTAGACTTTTTAATTTTCTGACGGGCGTCCTTATGTTTCGTTTTATTGTTGCTATTCGTTCAGTATTTTTCGTTTTTCACATTCTTGTTTGTCTTAATTCTATATTTGTTCTTTTTTATTATAAGCATTGAATTAGATGGTAAATGAAACTATTATATATGTATATATTTATTTATTTATCCATTATTTAATCCTCGTTGCTAAGGTCTGTAATGGAGAGTGTCCGTAATGGGGGCTGTCTGTAATAGGTAGTTGTCTGTAATGGGGGAGGGGGGAGTGGGTATGTCTGTAACGTTCTCTTTCTCCGTTGCTAAGTGTCTGTAATGGGGTGGGGGGAGTGGGAGCCGTCAAACCTCGAACTGAAAACTTACACTCACTATTTTCTTCGAAAATATGCGTGAGTTCCACAAAACAGACTTTTGGGACCAATCAATTTTCAATATCATTTCTGTTCGTGGTTCTCGGAAGACACTAGTTACTCTGTTATGAATAAGGGTGTCAATTTATATTTATTTTCCATTTAATTTACGCGTAAATTAAATAATAAATAATTTATATTTATTATAAAGTAAACGATAAGTGACACCCCTACTATTTGATAAGTTTTGTTTTTTTGCATGTTATAGAGGTTTCATCTAATTTCTATGAGGTTTTTTGATACGCATGGAATCTGTCTCTTGAAGTCCTGTAAAGTCTTGTGAAGTCTTGTGAAGTCTTGTGAAGTTCTATAAAGTCTTGTGAAGTCTTATGAAGTCTGATGAAGTCTTATAAAGTCTCAAGAAGTCCTACAAAGTCTCTGAAGTCTCATGAAGTCCGTGAAGTCTCATGAAGTCCGTGAAGTCTCACGGAGTCTGTGAAGTCTAACGAAGTCTTTGGAAGTCTTTTGAAGTCCCATGAAGTCATACGAAGTCTTATGAAGTCTTGCGAAGTCATTTGAAGCCCTATGAAGTCCTCAGAAGTCTTTAGAAGTCTTTCGAAGTCTTGTGAAAATATGAAGTCACAGCGGCTGAAGTCTGATGAAGTCTGTTGAAGTCTTTTGAAGTCTTGAAGTCTTGAAGTCCGCTGTTTCCCCCTTGCTTCTCCTACAGCTTATGAAGGAGGATACCCTCTTAATATTCAAACTATTCTTCAGTATATGAATGCAAGGCAAGACACAAACATATAGGACTAGCGAGAGCCCGTGCATACTGCACAGCCACTTTTTTTCCTGTAAAGTTTCACATCTATGCTTTACCTTGGTTCGGTGATAGACAATTAGACACTTCGCATTATATATATAGATAGATCTTATAGCCTTATACCCTTGTAGCCTTATACTCTCGTAGTATTACCCGCTCATACCCGTATTCCCTTCTTCTCTAATATCCGTATTTCTTATACGCCGGTGCCTCTATACTCTTGTACTTTTATCCCTCATACCCTTATTCTCTTATACCCTTATCCCTGATACCTCTGTAGCCTTTTTCCCTATGTCCTTATCTTCTTATACTCATGTAGTCTTATCCCCTTATAGCATTATACTTCTGAAGCTCTATCTCCTTATCCTCTGTATCTCTATCCTCTTATAACTCTGTCGCCTCTCCTCTTGTCTCCTTACACCCTTATGCCCCTATTTCCTTATCTCCTCATCTCCCTATCTCCTTATCTCCTTATACCCCTATCTCCTTATCTCCTTATACCCCTATCTCCTTATC